GCACTGCAAAAAATAAAGCCGATGGACTCTCATTAGACTCAAAACCTTTCCAGCACACAGGTTTTTGAGGTAACCTATTCTCATAGAGCAGAACAACACGCCTCATTCACGCATTCATGCAGCACTTTTCTCTATGGTTTTCATGCGAAAGTGCTTTATATCTAATATTCACAGATTCATGAGCAACCTGGGGTTAGCATCTTGCCCAAGACTATTTGGCATGCAGACTGGAGCAGGGATCGAACCACCAGCAAAACCCATTCCAATCAGAATATAACCCCCTTCACCTCCTGAGCTACAGCTTCCTCCGTTACAAAGTGACAGGTCTCCTGAACGCCGTCACTTTCTAGAAAAGCGACATGCTCAGCCGCGTGCTCCTGACAAACTCACCAGCTTTACAGCCTCCTGGGCACCCTCTTTACTGCAGAACGTGATGAAGGCATAGCCCCTGTTCAGGCTACTCAGCGGATCCATCATTAGCCGAAGGTCCCAGATCGGACCGGCCTTCTCAAACAGAGGAACCAGCTCGTCTTCGTACAGATCACGGGGAATCTTCCCAACAAAGATCTACAAGAGGACAAAAAAGAAAGAAGGATATTCTAAATATAAACACCCACAAGCAACTGGTTTTATTGAATATTTATTAGTTAACCAGCTGAAAATGGTTTCATTTCAAAAGTGCAGTTTATGTTAATTAGGAGTTACTCTTAAAGTTGCTTCAGTGAAGTGGACTGAAAACACTTCATGTCTGTACAGCTTTTTCCTATAAACGCTGCCCAACAGGAAAATCACATTTTACGCCTTTTTAAACACGTGCATGTTAAAAAGCTCAGTAAAGTTATATTGATATAAAATATGCACAGAAATATTTGCAGTCTTATGCATCCTTGCATTTTGACATTGGTAAACACTGAGACAGTGTCGGGTTAGCTTGTGCTGCACACTTTAAGAAGTTTAAAACTGGCTACGCTCAGTCTTGTGATAATGCCGAAACAAATATTACTGCACCATAATTCATGAAAAGCGAAGAAAAACCTCGTGTGAGATACTGATATTGAGGAGGAGAACATGTGAGGAGGTAAAGGTGACCACACTGTGTGGAGAACCCCACGTAAAAACAGCTGAAGGGAAAAACTAGGCAGGAATAACTGAGCTGGACCGTCAGGGGCCTTCTGCACAAACGCCTCATCTGTTAAGATGAGTTAACCGGTGCTAGTATCGGACCACAGGAACTACAGAGAATGCTGAAACTGTTCATGCTATAGAAGAACTGACAGCCCAAACTTTACTAATCTCCACTTAATCCAGCAAAGAAATGCTCCTTGTTCTGCACCATTAGGTGACTGTATGACAGGATAAACTGAGCAGTGCATTCGTTCCCCCCGTCCACGTGAGGCCAATGACACGCAAACAATTCACATCAACATCTACGGATCCAAAGCCCACATCACATTGCGAGACCTGTCACAGCGAAGTCAGCATATCTGAATACACCAAATATATATCCCAGTGCAGCTAAAACTCAAAGTACATCTCGTTAGGTCCTCAGAGTTTAATTTATACATCTTTTTTTCTCAGCAGTAAGAAACTGAAGCCTCGCATAATTTTCACCTCGTTAAAAGAAACTCTTCTTCTTCTGCTTCATGTTCTTCCCAACACTTTTTATAAATCAAACTCAGTGTTGATGTATCAGTTTTAAAACCTCTGTGAATAAAATTTCAGACCAAATATTGTCAAAATCATTGGTGGTGGTTTATAAAATCTTAAATATAAGTAAGTTTACTTTAGCTACGTTTATGCCTGTTCAGCAGAGCAGTGATTCCTGCTTCACAGAAGCTAATGAAGTGAATCTTGACGCCACTCTGATCGTGGGTTTAACCATTTAAAGCACCTCTGTCTGTGCCTGCCTTTTGTTTACAGCTTCCTAATTTCAAAACAACCAAATTCTCCAATGACATGATGTGAAAATGTAACATCTCAGGAAATGATACAAGACCCTATTTTCTATGAATTGACGAGGAGTACCTCTGTGCCGACAGGGGGCTGAGAACCCGAGTACACGGACTCTGGCGGGGGTCCGCCGTATTTCCTCTGGCCGGTTGTAACATCGAGTGTGTAGCTGGTTCTCTCGAGGAGTTCTTTGATTTTAGCCTCATCTGGTCCTTTGATGGAGTCTGAAACTTTAGTCCCTTGTTTCTCTCTCTGTCTGTAAGTCTTCATCACCCCACAGAGAAAGGCACTTTTATTCTGGGGAATAAGAAACAACAGAAAATTAGAAACCTGGACATTTAGCTGCCGTTAGGGGGTAAAAATAAACAGCCGAGCGTTCCCTTCATGTCTCGCATGATTTAAAACTCACCTGCACGTGTGACAGGTCACTCTCTTTGAACTGCACCAACACCTGCAGGGCTCCATCTTCGTTGAATTCTTTCAAAGCCTCAATAGCTCTTTCATCGAGGTCACCGTGTGCTACCAGGCCTGACGGACACAAAACACACCTCAAAATAACTGGCAAACGCACATGACCCCACCAGAAACACCCCCATACAACTTTAGAAACCCGATCAACTTCATCAATACTCAGCACAGGTGAGAAGGTTCACAGAGGCAGTGGGACTCGTGCAGTTGTGCAACAGAGGATTGAGGATGGATCATCAATGTGATCCAAAAGGAAGCAAAGTAAAACAGCTGAAGTATGAAGTATGAAGCAGTTTCATTATTATGGACATAAAAGTTTTCCTGTCATACTGCCAGGTTTCAGGAGGCTGAAGAAGCCCTGAGGTCTCCTTTCAGTGTTTGTCACCATCTGCTGGAGGTTCAGACAGTCCTGTTGACCTGCCGTGGACACACAGCTGCTCTTTTGTTCCTGCCAGCTGGCCTCCATCTACCTTCACCCAGGCCTTTGTAGTAACAGGAGTTATTTCATTTGCTCTGATTTCTATACTTCAGTGTGACAATGATCAATCTGATGCTCCCTCAGCCATCTGTCAGCAGCTGATACGACTGGTTTAACTACTTTGAATCAGCTCCCTGTTCACTGTTGTTCATTTAGAGTGTTGCTTAATTCACTGTCATCGTTTTATTTTATTACTGGTTAACAAAATAACCAGTAAAGACACGAAAAAGAGTTAATATTGCTCTGAATTACAAATTTCATTAACTTGTGCTGACATTCCTTCAGGAGCAGGAAGGTTTTAGTGGTAATTAAACACTAATAAACATACCTGAACAACAAAGGAGAAAGTGGCAGAGGATTTCAAAGAGTTCATGACAAATATTTTAACTCAGTCAAACTCAACTTTGGTTCATGGGCTACCCCATGTCATCTCAAGCAGGCTAGACCAGCACACCACTCCTGTGTTTGTAATGTTTGCATCACCTCTCCAGGTACTGTACTACATTTCATTCACAAATTTCAGATACTACTGACTTTCACACTGTGTGCTGGAGGGTGGATTTATCTGTGCACACACTGTGAGCTGAAAACGGAGGCAGGGCGTTCTCTTACCTGCTACATAAAGTTCATCCAGCTTCTCAGCGACATTCTGAGGTAAACCTGCCTCCAGTAAAGCCTGGAAGTGTTCCGAGTGGGTCACCTCGGCTGTAGTGTCCATCGGCTCCTCCGTCCCGTTCCCGTTAACGTGATCTGTGGCCATGTCTTCAGACATCTGCGCAGAGAAGTGAGCAAACATTTACCACCAGCAGCAACGCACTCGCCGGACTAAAGTGGGACAACAACATCAAGCGTGCAGTTTGGCGCCATCGTCCACTTGGTTTACAGGCAAGTCCTGCAGACGCTGCGAAACTAACACCACGTGTTAGACGCCAGCGGAAAAACAAACTTGCCCAAACAGCACACAAACAAGCAGCTAAGCAGTGAGCAGAAAAAGCGGCATCCATGTAGTCACCACGCGTCTGTGAGCTAACATCTGTGGCTCGTACAGATCACAGGCCTCACCGAGCGCGGTACGCATGGAAGTGCACAATGCACGAGATTAGCATTAGTTAAACAAGATCCAAAGGTCAAGCACGTGCAATTTGTGGTGATTCCGTGTGTTTGGCCCATTACTCATAACGTAGAGCACATTTATTTTCCCATTAGTATATGCAAACAGGCCCGTTATTTTTCCAAAATGCCGGCTAGCCATGAAAACGAGCTGCTATGCTAACAGCACCCGGTCGTGCAATGCATCGAACATTAGAGTGCAGAAAGCTGCAGGTTAATAGCCGAATTTAACATCCCCTCTCGTTGCCTCGAGAGCGTACGTACCATGCGAATCTGAATTTGGGTGCACGATGCAGCTCCGCCGTAATTTAGGTAGTCCGAATGAGGGGAAATTTTCACGCCGGGGCTCTCAGGCTGGCTTCTTTACTCCCGGTGAAACAAAATGGCGGCTACGTAACGTCGCAAACTCCGCTTCTCCACCCCACCCCCTGCGTGTACGGGGCTTCTGAAACTGCTTTTCATGGGCTACTTTGGGGCTTCGAACGGTGGCGTTGAACCAGTGATTCTTTATTTTATTTTATTTTATTTTATTTTATTTTATTTTATTTTATTTTACAACAAAGAGATGTCTGTATTTTAGTTTAAATATACTGCTTGTTTAAATGTATATTCTATACAATGTACGTGTAAATGTAACACTGCTTTTAGAGTAAATTAATTAATTTCAGATGATTATTTTTTCTCTTGCAATTTTATTATGAAGATGTTTAAGCACATAGACACCAGGTGCTTCCGGATTATTTCGAAGTAAAGTCTTATTTACTTTGATCCTTCAACTGGAGAACCTGTAAATTAAAATCATGGCGTTCGTCCATTTCAAATTTTCAATAGTAAAACTTAGCATTGTTTTCTCAGTAAAATAAACTGAATCTCACAGAAAGGGCAATACAGACGGCACTTTGTGTGATCTTTTTTAGTTTTTAATACCTTTTGTTTAATTTTTTTTACGCCTGTGCGTCACGTGTTATGGGCGTGGATTTCCCACGCCCTCTGAAACGCTATTGGCTTAGCGCGAAATTTGAAATGTAAGGGGAACGTTAGCGGCTCGGAGGACAACAACAAGTCTAAATATGCGAATTTTTTAGATAGCAAACAATCAAACCAGAGGAATTAAGTGCTACAAAAAAGTTTACTATCGGTTTTCTTGGGAGAACTTTTTTTTTTTAACTTAAAGCGAAATGGATATCGCCTCGTATTTACAGTAAGTCACGATGGAACATGGACGTTAGCCGCTGTTAGCTCAATTGAAGGGGTTAGCTTCAGTGCTAACATGAATGTATGGATCTTTTATAACTAATTCATAAACAACGTAGCTGTCAGACATGTTTTAATTACTCATACTTCTACCCTTCAGGCGTTTTGAAAACAGTTTGACCTCATACACAGGTGACGACCCACTGGACGCCTGGATCAAGTGAGAATTTCGACTGTTTTCATTGATGTGTAATGTTTTATAGTAATTTAGGAAAAGTTATTAGTCCTGCAGCCATTGAAATCATATTGAAACCTGTAAGAGTGTAAGAGACAGCCTTAACACAGGAGGTACATAACAAATGATCGTCCGCTTATTTCATTTTTGAGTGTTGACGTCGGAAGTAGACCTGGATTTACTTTTCAAAGTCACACTTCCTGTTCTTTACCGTCTATTTCCAGCTTTAGGTTATTTAATAACACTTTTGGATATTAAGGCTGAATATATGTATCACAAATGTTTGCTTGTCTCAGAGCACACAAAACAGCAAACCAACCAGCCTCAAAGATAAATAACTGCGTAATATCTTAATAAAATACAATAATAGTCTGTCTTAAAAATATTGTAAATCATTTTTTGATGATTTAATACAAAAAGATGCACACAAAATGAGAAGTACTGAAGGCAAGTTTCTCTGGGTGCTTCTTTAGGTTTGTGGAGTACCTGGAGCAGAGGCTACCTACAGATGGTGGCAGAGGGATGTTGCTGGTGTTTGAGCGTCTCATCCAGAGATTTTTGAATGTCGAGCAATACGCGAATGACATCAGATATGTGAACTACTGCATCAAATGTGTAAGTCTGATTAAAACATTGTATTTTTAAGTTGTCTCCATAGTTTGTATCTTTTTAAGTTGGATAAAGTCTTACTCGAGCTCTTTTCTTGCCTCACTGTGTCTTACAGGCAAGTTATTACGTGGACCCTGTTTCCCTGTACAGTCAGGTCTTCAGTAGGGGCGTCGGCACCAGGACAGCTGGCCTGTATGTGGCCTGGGCTCAGCACTTTGAACAGAGAGGACTGCATGAACAGGCTGATGCAGTATACCAGAAAGCGCTGGAGAACCAAGCTCATCCAGCCAGCACTGTTCTCCATGAATACAAGTAAGCATTTGAAGAGTGAGACGAAGTTTCTCATGGTAACCTCAGACGGTTAAATACAAAGCTGTCTGTGCCAGTGTCGGTGGGAGTCTGGCCTATGTAGATACCTTTCAGAGTGTTTTGTAGAGAAATTATGCCAGTTGAAATGTGTGGAAGTGGTTTAACCTCTGTGTTGTGGTGTAGCTGTTGTTAAACCAACCTCCAGCCTGTTACTGTATTAAAAGTATTAAAACGACACACGCATATGTGGTCTCACTAGTGGGCAGCTATCATCATGGTGGCCGGTGGTTTGTTTTCAGTGTAACTACTAAAAAAAGTTGAGGAACCTGCAGACATCAGATACTGTAGTATTTGTTTGAGTTTACAGTGCTCTTGAAAGCGCTGAATTCTAGAACGCTGAACATCTGCCATCAGCTCTGCAGGACATGAGATTTGCCGATGTTCATCTGTCAGGCATCACCACTGGTGTGGTCTTGGTATTTGGATATAGTCTCTTCAGTTTGTATGACTAAGATCAGAATTACACTTGTACGCAGACATAGGCAGCTGTCAAACACAAGTTTGGTCCCAAGTCCCAAGTTTGAGACCCCTGGTCTAAAAGAAGCATGAAAGCAGCGTGAAAGTCCTGGCAGTAATAAAGTGTGAACATCCGCTCTGAGCCTTGTGTTCACTCTCTGATGACGTCATTTACATCACTCTGGTCTGAGCAAGACGTTCCGGGGCCCTAATTTCTCAGTGGTGCAACTAAAAAAAATTCTTGTGTCACACACGGTGCGACTAGCCGGTTGAAAAATTTGGGTGCACCTAACTTTTGTGCTGGTGCACCTAAGAAAAAAAGTTAGGCACACCAGTGCAACCATGGCAAAAAGTTAATCTAGAGCAGGGGTGGGCAACTCCAGGCCTCGAGGTCCAGTGTCCTGCAGGTTTTAGATCTCACCTTGGGTCAACACACCTGAATCACATGATTAGTTCGTTACCAGGCCTCTGGAGAACTTAAAGACATGTTGAGGAGCTAATTTAGCCATTTAAATCAGCTGTGTTGGTTCAAGGACACATCTAAAACCTGCAGGGACACTGACTCTCGAGACCTGGAGTTGCCCACCCCTGGTCTGGAGCCCTGCATGAGGTGACCGTGCCAGCAGTGGCCCACAGCTCATTTAAGTTTGAGACTCCTGGTCTAAAGGAAGCGTGATGGAAAGCCCCAGCAGTAATAAAGTGTGAGCATCTGCTCTGAGCCTCGCGTTCACCCTCTGATGATGGCATTTACGTCACTCTCGTCTGGGCAGGACGTTCACTTAATCTGGGGTATGGAAACTCTAATATTGCTGTAATCTTTTAGGGATGGTGCAATTAAGAAGTGAAAGAATTTAAAGTCTGTGTTAACAACTGAAGCCTGGATATTAATCTGGCCTTCTAATGTGAATGATATCTGGCTGTGTGTAGTCACTCTACACATGCAGTGACAGCGGTATGTTACTGTGCTGCATGTTATATACTGTGGGCTAACAGAAACTCTGATCTGCAGGCAGTTTCAGACCAGAACCAGAAGTGAGACGGCAGTGTCCGGTAAGATGGTTTATTTAAAAGTTCCTTTATTATATAATGTTGGATTTCTTTCTTTAGAAATTTTTATTGTTGCTCTACTGTCTGACTATTTTTATATGTCTATTTTATGAAGGAGGAAGTCGAAACCCTTTGCAGAACTCCAATTTAACCAATCAGGTGCCCCACAGAGAGCCTGTCACTCAGAACAAGGTGTGTTTATCTCTGGTTTTTCATCCTAATTGTGCATGAATGCCATTTTCTGCTTTTTCCATTCACACTGTGCGTCCTCTGTCACAGATGTCTGTGGACTGTCCCTCCAAATTCATCGACATGTGAGTGAAACACTGAACTCAGTTTTTGGGGTTCCTGTTTCTGATGTCAGCAGAGTGCGCTCGTACCAACACAACATGTTACAGCCATGAGATGAAAAAGGAAGAGGCTCAAAGACAGAAATAGGGGGGGGGAAAGAGTTTAAGTCACCCTTTAACTGTGTTTCTGGAAGCAAATTAGATTTACATTAACCACAGGAACAGTAAATAAAAGTGTCTTAGGAGGGTTTGTTTGTTTTATTTGGAATTTTTTGGAAAAAGATCTTCTGTTTTTTAAATCTGTCTTCCTTTATCTCATCAAAGGTGGAATAAGCATCTTAGAAATTCATAATGTGGCAAATGTCAGCTGTTGCTCCTAGAGTAGCTTTGCCTGATGATGGCTTTGGGCTCACAGGGATTGATTCATGTGGAATTTCTTCCAGTTAATGTAAAAATTCGTGTACTGGGATGGGCTTTCTGTGACAGAGAATAAAAGCAGAAGAGCTTCACTTTACATTCATCTACACTCGCACAGTTTCGAGGATCTTAACAGCATGATGTCACCTGATTTCTTCTGTCGCTCACAGAGTCTCTCGCTCTGAGACTTCCGGGACAATTCCCACCAGTCAGGGCTCTGGCATTCAGACCGTGTCCGAGTACACGGTAGAAGATCTCGTCTGCGACGAATCTGAGCTATGCTTCGAAGAGGCCCGAGCTCAGAATTACTTCCGCAAGCTCCCTGAGCAGGAGGAGAAAGACGAGACAGACTTCAGTGAGTTTTTAATTCTGCAGCTAAAATAAATCCGTGCTGCGAACACTTGTCTGGATTTCTAGTAAATGTCCTTTTTATTGTTTTCATGTCAGCGCTGACACCGAGCGAGGGTGAGGAGAGGAATAAATGGTTGCTGGAGAAAGTTTTCTGCGATCTTGAAATCAGACAGACTTCATCTCAAAAGGTAAGACAAAAGCATCCTGATGCAATAGGCTGTGCTGAATGTGCATCAGAGCCCTAAGCTTCAGGCTCAAAGCCAAAGTGCCAGCAAAAATAGACAAATAAGGATTAGTCTGAGCTGCGAATCATGCAAAGTTGCTCTAGCAGCATCCAAGAATGAAAACAGTGAGTGACAAGCACATCGGGTTCACTGCGTCAGTCTGAGAGGCTTTTCTTCTTCTTTATTTCAGCCGCCTGCAGCAGAAACTGCTGCCGATGTAAACCCGAGTCTTACCCAACCCTCCTTCAAGCAACCTCCGCCCTCAAACCGTCTGAGCAGCCGGCGCTCTCTTGGTTTGAGATTAAACACCGAGCCGACCTTCATCCAAGAGGCCGCCACCAGCATTCCCGAACCTCCTCACCAGCAGAACATTGACACGCTAAGTTCGGTGGCATCCCATCATCCCTCTGTCCCAGCTGAGCGGGACATGGGTTTGCAGAAGTCTGCAGATCGGGAGCCGCTCTCCTGGGCCTCAGCGGTCCCACATACGCCACTTCATCAGCCTGTGAGCTTTGAGAGCACAGACAGGCTCCCACCCCCAGAGAACAATGCAACGTGGGTACCTTCTAACTCCCTCGACACTGCTTCTGATACTCTGTGGAGCATAGGTTTCTGGTTGTGCAAGGAAAACATTGAACCTAATATTTAATATCATGAAAATGCGAGATGTAAGAACAGCTACAGAGACGTTTTTTAGGAAACAACCCCCCCCCCCCCCCCCCCCCCCCCGTGTTTCCCACACAAGTTTATTTTTATTTTTCTGTCCCTCATCGTTTTATTATTGGACAGTCTGATTTCTGTTAAAGTTCAAGCCCTGCTGATGGGCTCATCACTACATGATGCCTGTGCCATAAAGTTTGTGACAATAAGTAATGGAGTAATAAGCAGCTTTCTCTTTAGTCAGTTAGTGTATGAATTGTATTCCGATTTTATTAGAAATTCTCCTGCACACATGATGATGATTTCGATGGCTGATTGAAATGATTTTAGATGCGTTACTGATCTTGTCTTTCTCTCAGGGATGTGGGTCTGCCTGCAGAGCCTGAGGACAAGCTTGATGGTAAGTGTGCTTTTATTTTGTCGAGCTGTTGCGTGTCTCTGGTAGATGTAGTCACAGCCCTCTCTGTCCCTCTCAGTGTCGCAGGGAGCCACAGCTAACCTGTCTCACGTCACTCCTAATAACTCGCTCGGCTTCGTTCAGGCCACGCCTTCGCGGGTGCTGCCATCACCTACTGTCAACACACGAGAGGCGCTGGGTGAGCACGACAGTTTGTCTCTTTGCTGTCACGTCAGAGGTGTTTTTATATCAAATTTAATGTTTTTGGATTCAAAGAGTTACTTTCATGTTATGTCTCTGTCCTTTAATCAAACTGCTCTTCACTGCTGCTCAGGCTTTGGCGGCTGTGGTAAAAACTCCTTCACTGAGTTCTTTTCTTCTTTTTGTCAACTCAGGCGTGATCATGGACATGTTCCAGGCTCCGACCTTACTCGAGGAACCGTTCAGCAGCACATCAGTCCTCCACGCTGCCGAGAAGGAGTCTGAAGCCGGATTCTGGATAGGCGGTAAATAGGCTCTGAACACAGTCGGGATAATAACAGAATCTAACTGGATCCGGTCACCAGTGCTTAAAATTAATGTTCCTCCTGTTTGAGTCAAAGCAAACTCAGGCCTGAACCTCTGAGACTGATTCTTGGTCTCGCTCCAGATAACCTAATTATTCTGTCTCTGATGATTAGCAGGAGGAGCCTCCTCATTATCTAAGCCTCCCACCACGACTCCATTCACCATCTTTCAGGATGACGACAACAAAGAAAACGGCAGGTAAATATGGCCCCCACACTGGACACCCTAAACCCCAGCTGTGATGTTACACTCCCATGTAACCTGTGTGATATTCTGTCTGTGCTGGATGTATCCATCCATCTTCTTCTGCTTATCCAGGATAAGAGAATTTTGTGCTTCAGCCTGAGAAGACTCGGGGACACTTTAGTGCTTTTAATTTTGAATATGAATAATAAAGGTGGTAATTTATAGACTTTTTTTTAACAGTTGTTTACTCTGTTAGCTTGTGTAGTGAATGCAATAAAAGAGCTTTCAGGAGGATTTAACTTTTGATTTCCACTCAGATGTTGATGTGATCTCCAGCTTCAGGTCTCACTGAACTCACACTGAGATTTAAATGTCATTACTAGGAAAGACCTAGTTCACAAACACTCAAGGCTTCTGGGAAATGGTGTTTGCTAAAGGCTGCTAAAACAAACACAGACATATTTTTCATTTATTTTATGAGGAAAAACCCACAAACCCCCGTTTTTAAATAATTCCTGTTTGTCGTGGACTCTTTCAGCTGCTGGGGTCAAGGTGCAGAACGGCACACATTTCATTCTGTCGTATGTTTTTTGTAGATCAGTTCATCTTAATGTTTGTGCTGCTGTGAAACCTTGAGGATAAAATGAAGTGCGTCTTCATGACAGCCAAGTGTTCCTGTTATTTTTGTCTCTGTGCTGTTTAGTGCCGCTGCTCCTGCTGATGCCGAGAAGCCTAAAGGAGTCAGAGCTCTGGCTGAAATCCCGGTGTCAAAGGCAGACAAACCCAACGTGAGTGAATTTACTCATGTTAAGCTAAATTCCAGATTTCTGGACGAGTGTTTGGTGTGTTTGTTTCAGGTTCACATCCTCGTGTTTTTCTTATCCTCATCAGGAGACTCCTTCAGATCTGATCCCAGATGAGAGCACCATGTGGGGAGCTCGCTACAACTCGCTCAACTCGCTCGCCGCCTGTCCCAACAGCACCACAGACTTCGCCATGCTGGCTCAGTTCGTCTCCACGCCATTCACTTGCAAAACCTTTATCAGCAGCGACTTCCTCGAGGACCGAGGTAAGAGGAGCCAAACCTGCGGCTTATTCCTCCCGCAGCCTCCGCACCTGTCTCATTTTAACAACAAGCTGAAAGTAATCTAAAGTTTCCCTAAATAATAAATGTTTCTGCCCCACAGAGAATAAATGTGAGGGGGAAGCTGATGAAGAAGCTTACCTGAGGCGTCAGACCAAAAAGCTGAGGTAATCAGTCTTCAGGTATCCACTGCCCATTCGTGTCACTGTTATCAGTGCAGATGTCACAGATGTGTCCTCTCCTCTGTTAGCCCCATCCTGGAGCAGAGTCCGACCGACGAAAGCACCGTCGGCCAGACGGTGCCCTCCTCTGCCAGGCAGGGTACCATCGTGGGAGAGGAGTTTGCAGCGGCCCAGCACTGCCTTACTGCGTCCTCACTCACCATGGTGCAGCCTCCTCCTCCCGGCGTGCTCTCCTTCAGGGACCAGACGCTCTGTCCTGCCGACTCCTCTAGGACAGCGGGGCCCGGCTGGGAGGTGTATGCAAGCCCCGAGCAGCCACCCAAACAGGCCTCCTTCATCTCAGGCAGACCCATGAGCGAACCTTTTCAGATCATGGAGGACCTAGAGACCCCCAGCAGCCCCCAGAAAGCCCAGAATCAGGTCTGTGACGTTCCCATGAGCCCCGAGGGTGCTCTCAAACCAGACTGGCTAGCCATCAGGAGCCCAGAGGCCATGGCCGAGCCAGACCTGGATGCCTTCCTGAGTCCCCATCAGCCCAAGAATCTGGACTTCCCCATGAGTCCAGGGCACCCACAGCTCTGTGCTGACGTGCCCATGAGCCCGACATCAATCAGCAGGGAGGATGAACCCATGAGTCCAGAGAGGGGGCTGAGGCTGAGCGCTGACATCTCAATGAACAGTGACACGCCGCAGAAAGCCCAGACGGGGGCAGTCCAGCTGATGTCGGATCCCTGGGACACCGAACTGATCTCCAGCCTGCTGTCTGGACTCAGCCCGCCTCTCGCCACACATCCGCGCTGCACCACCTGGCAGTGCAACATACCGAACATCACTCCAAAAATGACCATCAGCATGGGTAAGATCTGCAGCGCCTGCTCCGTTAGGTGTGGAAGTCTGGCTTTGATCCAGCTGCAGAGAAAAACTGTACGCTGTGTTGATTGAAACGATGAATGTTTGTGTCGTGACAGGAAAGGAGTCCCTCAGAGTGGACTGCGTTCTTGGAGAGGGAGCCTTTGCGACAGTTTACCAGGCCACGAACCCCGTGACCTTAGAGAAGACCGTTTTAAAGGTGAGGCTGCGGATGAAGAGTGCCGCGTCCCTGTCTCTGTGTTACTCAGCTCCTTTTTTTAATGTAGTGGTGAAACAAATCTTATTGAATCATCTCAGAAATGAACCGTGTTCTCAGAGACATTTGGACATGACCGCAGGATTCACATGTGTCCTCGCTGCAGGTTCAGAAGCCGGCCAACCCCTGGGAGTTTTACATCAACACCCAGCTCGACGCTCGGCTGAGGCCCGACGTCCGTCACCTCTACAGCAGTATGCACTCAGCTCACCTCTTCCATAACGGGAGCGTGCTGCTCGGTGAGCTTCACAGCTACGGCACCCTACTGGTCAGTTACCGTCAGTGTGGATTTATGGATATGAATTTACTTTTGTATATATGTTTTTAAAATCCAGTAATTTGTTGGTTTCTTAGTTTTTGCGCCATAATTTCGGATTTGATCTGTGTTTACGTAACTTGACTTTTGTTACAGAATTTTCTAGTGGTCACTTTTCAGTGAATTAAACAATAAGTTGAGCACATAATGAATCCATAACATGGATGACAAAGACTGTTAATCAGTATGAAGGAAGAGAAACTTTAAATACTAGAGTTTTGCTTGCCACAGCTGAGCTTGGACATGTGGGTCGGTCTGTTGGCACGGTAACCTCACAGCAGCCTTGTTATTCGTCAGATGATGTCATTAAAAATGCTCCAAAAAGGCTAAAACAGTACACAGTCCAGACGTCCAGTTCAGGGGCTCTAATTAGTGGAATTGAAGCCAAGCAGCCTATTTGGTATCAAATTTTACAAATACAAGCCTTAATAATAAAAACAGTTTCCCCCCATAAGTTGTTATGAGGGTTTAAACCATTGTTGTGGAGTCTGCAGAGACTATTC